GGTACTTTGATGTCATACAACGTTCAGTCTGTGCAGCGCTGCTTCAACTCCAACACACCTATACTGTTGATTGGTGATGAATGTGATGCAGGGCAATAACTCACTGCGTGATGGAGCCTATAGAATGCAGTTATATACCCCTAAAATTCAAGAGACTGGGAGGAAAACGCACCTGTATGAGTTTTTGTCTCACATTTATATCATATAATATAGTTCAGCAATATCACACGAGCAATGAGTGAAGTATCACACGAGTGGTGTTCTTGTCCAAAACAGCACGAGTGCAAATGTGATATTGATTTTATACAGTTCAATAAGTAAGACCTTAATATTGTGTTATATTTTAGACACAATGTTGTCTGTTTTTTGCTCAATTTTGCCAAAAATTATTAAAGCCACAGCAGGACAGCTGTGCGTCTCCGAGCAAGACACAATTTCTGAATGAATCCACATTTTGAATTAATTGTGTAAAGCAATGATTCAAAGGCCAATTCATAAAGAGAGCCATTTACTTCATTCTTGAATGAATCAGCCATTTGAACAAATCAAATGAATGAATGACTCATTAAGACATTTATTAAGACAGTTTGTTTCTTAGAGTATCATTTCATGAAAAAAAAATCATATTTACATATAAAAAAAAAACATTTTTTTTGCTTTTTATTGAGAGACAAAATGGAATATTTTCACATTGAACTTGTGTAAAAATCATTAGTCACACCACAGGATAATTTAAATGAACTGCACATAAGCTAAAAGTAATAATGACCTAAAATCAAGAAATGGCGACCTTCAAATATTCTATTAAAGTATTATATAATATTCTAAAATATTGTGTGTATATATGTGTATATATATGCATCTATCTATCTATCTATCTATCTATCTATCTGTCTGTCTCTCTCTGTGTGTGTGTGTGTGTGTGTGTGTGTGTGTGTGTGTGAGAGATAAATTGTATATTGTCATTTTCATGCATTTACATGTGTGAAAAATTCATTTATCACACCCATGACAATTTAAACAAATTGCAAATAAGCTAAAAGCAAGAAGTTATTATTATTTTATAGTTATTGTTAGTTTGAATTTTGAAATTTTTTATATTATTTTATTTACATATACAGCAGTCACATGTCCGCACATATTTGGCTGAATGTATGTTCCTCATGATCTTAAAAAAACATTTGATTTAAAGCTTTATGCCTAAATGTATGAAATTATTTTGGAGATCTATAAATTGTGCCTAAATATAAATATAAATATAAATAGATATAAAGACACAAAACCCTTGCTGGTTAAGCTAGTTAAGAAGTGTGACCAGCCAAACAGGCGAACGCTGCTTTCTCAAGGCTCAGGCCTGTTATTTACCCCAAGCCCCCGTTATTTGTAGCAAATAGCTATCAAGAGTTTTGCAATAACTTTCAGAGGATTAGGATCCGGTTCTGCTGCTTGTCTTTTTGCACGTGGTGAAGTATATTTGAACAGCGATGCTCATATCTCCCCAGCACACATTTGTGTTTCCACACCATATCAAGGGCTTTACGCGACTGATCCCGGTTCAGTCAGGAGTGCCGTTTTAAAGCAGCGCAAACATTCCAGAACTCATTCACTTTCCAGTGTTTTGCCTGGGCTTAGGATGTTTGTATCCAGAAAGGATCACATTGGCTAAGTGGGTCCAAAAGCAGCATACACCTCTCCAAATACAATACTGTCTAAAAGCAACATAATGCCCCTCAAATTTAAAGCTGCAGTCCGTAAGTTTTGCCTCATTGTCGCCATCTCTGTTTGAAAACCTGGAATTGCAGCTGTGTGTGGAATTATCTAGCTTGCGTGGGTTGTGCTCCGGCACGACTCCAGCACGGATGAATCTAATGTTCTGAAGAGTATGTGTGGCAGTCAGTCACCGCACCGGTGTGGATATTTACTGTACTTCGCAATCACAGATTCTAGCCTACGTCTTGGAATATGACAGGATCCTCATATGCGATAGCCTAGCAGCCGGGACAACTTCTTTATGTTTACAGACGTGACGTAATGACGCACTTTAATCTGAAAGTGGAAGATTTACTAGTGGAGCATATATCGCCTTACTCATTCAGCAATTGCTAATAAAAACATTTATTGAATTAGCTAGTTATGGTTAGTTAAGTTTACACTACTAAAAATATTTAAGTTGAGATTATATGATCATTTTAAGTGTAAAAATTTTAAATGTACGAGATAGCATACTAACTCATAAGAGCGATTAACATGTAAAATAAAAATCTGCCAGTTCTGCTTAATTCAACTTTGCATTTCTTAATTTAATTTTGTTTTTGATGCAACTGATTACCTCAATTTTTTTTTTTTGCCAAAATTCGGGTTCACAGTGACTATAACAACCACCGTGAAGTCTTGATTTTCTAATTTGTAAAAAGCATTAAACAAATTAATTAACAGTTATTTTTCTGTTTTGTCTGTGTAGCCAGAATATGACATGCAGTTTCACAAAAACATTTTTACAGTATATATTCTATTAATCAACATTAATAATCATTATAACTATATCAGCAGCGAATAACGTTTTTTTTTAATATATTGCAGGTCTACCCTGTAATGAATTCCTGTGTTTTTTTTAACAATTTATATATTTATAATTTACCATTTATAATTTATTTCTATTTTTACTGTAGGCTTATTACATTATGCAATTGTTGTGTAAATACATGTTTGCCACCTCCGCATTAAACAGTCTGTGTAAATACACACAATGGCATATCAGATGCTTCAGTTCCTTGCTGTGTAAAGATGGCTGTTGTTGATAAAAATGTTATAGGTAACAGTCTAGAGTATTTTGATTGATTGGAGTAATGCGTTAAAATTAAATATTTGACATAAAAGACAATGAAGATACATTTAATGGTGTAATAATAAAAAAATGCTCTTATGAAGGTAAAAATGCCCCTTGAAATCGATTCCAGAAATAGAAATAGAAAAAAATAATTTCTGGCCCTGCACTGATGTGATTGGGATTGTGTTGTAATTACCAGGCCAAGTCCAAGTTATCGGTAACATGTAAGAAATGTCATGCTCTATTTCACGTCCAAAGGTTAAAGAATTGAGTCTGTCATCTTTTTAATTTTGCGTTTGAACATCTATTTCCCTTCCCTCAGGGAAATCTGAACATGAAGCCAAGGAACTGCAGAAATAAAACATGGAGAAGAACACCTTGAAGTGTCTGAACACACACAGTATTGACCAGAGTGATCTAATTATAGACTACATGGCAAAAACAACCGCAGTAATTCTGTCTGGTTTCCAAGACAATATATCTGACCATGCTCAAGATAAATATATTTGAGAAGCATAAGATATTAAGATCTTTATTTTTCTTTCTCGACTGGCAAATTGTTTTCTCATGGTTTAAACCTCAGGTTTGGCCAGATTTGGGCTTGAAAAATGAGAAACAGTTTGCCAGGGGGGTAAGATACAGTATATAAATTTAATCCAAAATTAGTCCTTTCAAGCAATTTATAAAAATCGAATTAATTACATGATATGCCATTTAACTCATTGATTTAATTGCATACGTTAATATTTAAGACAATTCATTATTGTGGTTTAACTATCTGTCTGAAGTAGACTTTTTTTGCATTATATTTAATACAAGTTTATTTTTCTTACATCTTATAATTTTTTGCAGCATTAATATGCAAAAACCAGCATCTTGTTTTTAAATCTATGCAATTTCTTTAAGTGTGCAGCTTGGAAATTTTATTTAATTTTATTATGTCTATTGCTTGTTTATAATGTCTGTTGCTGGTTTTTGCATATTAATGCTGCAAAAATTATAAGATGTAAGAAAAATAAACTTGTTTTACCTTTTAAATTAAGTTTATTTATCTCACCCCATTGGCAGATATTTTTTCTTGATTTAAGCATAAACTCACTTCATTTTGCTACATTTTTCAGAAATTCTTCTCAAGTAAATGTATCTTGATTTAAAGGATTAGTTCACTTCCGGAATAAACATTTCCTGGTCATTTACTCACCCCTATGCCATCCGAGATGATCATGTCTTTCAAAGAAATTAAGGTTTTTGAGGAAAACATGCCAGGATTTTTCTCCAAATAATGGACTTCAATGGGGATCAACAGGCTGAAGGTTTCCCTCAAAAACCTTAATTTTATTTTTCGACCTGAAGATGACATGGGGGTGAGTAAATTATCAGGAATTGTTTACTCTGGAAGTGAACTAATCCTTTAAGAATATTTAACGGTTTTGTGCTTGGGGAAACGGCGTGTCATATTCTGGCTATACAGACAAACATGCCTAGTCTAGCGCATGTTATGCAAAAACTCCCGTTATAATCACTGAAGCTACAAAATTAATCTCTTAATACTTACATCTCTTCTGCACTTCATTGTTTAGGATGAGAATTCGCAAGCGCACATTTTCAGCGCTGACTAATCTAAACGCCTCTGATTGGCCATCGCGTTAACAAGCTCAACAGAAACGTGTGTGATTGGTTAGAAGGCTCAACGCTGTATAAAACAACGCGTAAAAAAGCAATCTGATGCAACAGACTCTGATCTAAATGTAATTCCACAAACTGACACTTTTCACATTTCATTTTTATCGCAACAGCCATAATTTAGTGTAATTATGCAGGGGCAATTTTTGCCCCTTTATCTTAAATTTGTGGGGAATTTTTGTTCAAGCCCTTGTTAATTTCCGACCACGAATTTAGCATTAGACCTTAAATTTTGATGCTAGATTCACTGGTTTTATGTAGAATTGTTCTATAGTCTACAGTATTTAATGCAATTACATCAGAAAAAAATGTAATTAATTTACAGAAAAATTAAGAGTAATCCCTTACTTTTTCAAGAGAAAAGTAATTAATTTACTTGGTAATGCATTACACCCAACACTGCTTCTAAATATATAGAATCAAGTGCTTGTATTCTGACCTCATTTGTTCTGCATGTTTTTGCATCTTCATCTTAGTAAGCGTTGCTCACCTTCACAGTGCTTCCCGTCACCTTTGTATCCTGATTTGCAGATGCATTTGTATGACTTGAGGGTGTTCTGACAGATGGCATCCATACTGCAGCTGTCCAGGGCCTCGGCACACTCGTCCACATCTGCTGAGAGGAAGGAAATCAAGAGGCTTTGAGTCGCTATTTGGAGAAAAAAACGACATGTTTTCGCCTTGGGCGAGTAAATCGAAACAGTCAAGCGAAAAGCTGCTGATCCAGCATGGCAGAGCAAATTCATTTCACAATTCCACTGAAAATCTGCTCAGAGGAGGAGAGACGACAAACGGGCAGAACTGATCTCAGTTCAGACGTGATTGTGAGGCCTTCAGCATCTCATATTGCTGTGACCTCTGGGACCGAAGACAAACTCCTTCAGCAGCGCTCTGGCATTTCCTGCAGTCGAACTGCTGCTGCTGCTGCGTATTGCCTTAGCCTGACAACAAAAACACATTCTGTCCTGATAAAGGTCAATGAGGTTGTCATGGTTACTCTAACAAAAGACCATCTTTTAATACTCTTCTTGTTCAGGAAGTATAAGAATCTAGTTTGAAGTCCATCATGGATTAAATGAGTTAATGTTAATGAAAAACTCAACAGCATGATGCTAGGTTGATGTGGGTGGTTGCTAAGGTGTTTTGAATGGTTGCCAGGGTGTTGCTATACAAATGTTAAGGTGTTTTGGGTGGTAGGCCAGGTGTTGCTGTGCAGTTGCTAAGATGCTTGGAGTGATTGCCAGGGTGTTGCTATGCAGTTTTTGAGATGCTTTGAATGGTTGCCAGGGTGTTGCTATACAGTTGCTAAGGTGTTTAGAGTGGTTGCCAGGGAGCTACTAAAGTGTTTTGAGTGGTTACCAGTGTGTTGTTATGCAATTGTTAAGGTGTTTTGGGTGGTTGGCCAGGTGATGCTATATAGTTGCTACAATGCTTTGAGTGGTTGCCAGGGTGTTGCTATGCATTTGCTAACATGTTTTGAGTGGTTGCCAGGATGTTGCTATGTAGGGTATTATTATGCGTTTTTGTTGGTTACCAGATCATTTCCATGCAGTTGTGGATGGTTGACAAGGTGTTACTTTGCATTTGCTAAGGTGTTCTGAGTGGTTTCCAGGCTGTTGCTATGCAGTTGTTATGGATTTTCTGGGTGATTGCCAGGGCATGGTTATGCAGTTGTTAAGGTGTTCTGGCTGGTTGCCAGGGCATTACTATGCAGTTTCTAAGGTGTTTTGAGGGGTTGCCAAGGTGTTCTGGATAGTTGCCAGGGTGTTGCTATACAGTTGCTAAGATGTTTTAAATGGTTTCCAGGGCACTGCAAAGGTGTTTTGAGTGGTTGGCAGGGAGTTGCTATGCAGTTGCTAAGGTGTTCAGAGTGGTTGAGTTTTTTTTACCTAACCCAGAGTGTTTCCATGCCCTTATTACGGTGTTTTGGATGTTTGCCAGGGTGTTACTATAGATCTGCCTAGCCTAGGTGGTCTTTGTGGTTTCCAGGGCGTTGCTATGCAATTGCTAAGCTGTTTTAAGCATTTGCCAGGGCATTGTTATGCAGTTGTTAAGGTATTCTGAGTGGTTGCCAGGGCATTGCTATGCAGTTGTTAAGGTATTCTGAGTGGTTGCCAGGGCATTGCTATGCATTTGCTTAGGATCTTCTGAGTGGTATCAGGGTTGCTAGTGTGTTCTGGGTGGTTTCTTACAGGCCAAAGTCAAACCGCCCAGCCATAAATCAAATTATGCAGTAAATTCTGATAGCTCTTTGGCAATTATGTGTTGAACATGAGGGTGTGTTGTGCAAAATCAAAATAACTACAAAACTGTTTGGCTTCGGCTGTAAGAAAAAATAAGTGATTCCACACGGTTTGAACAGTCAAATCTGTCTTCACAGTACAGTTCTGTCTCACTGCTGTGGGGAAACAGATGCCCATCAAAGCAGGAGACTAAAGCTTATTACAGGGTTAGAGCTCCAACAATCCCGAGCCAGTTTCCACAGAGTCACCTCAAAGCTGCTGGTAAGAAACGACAACCATTTCATTTAAACACTTGTCAGCCAACACTCAAACCAACATCTAATCAAGATGATACCTTAGTTTTCACTCCAGAATCCACAGACGTCCTTCATGTTTTCATTACAAATGCGGGAATCTCTCTGCTGATGCTGCAGGAAAGCAGTGGACATTCTTTATGGTGGCATTAGTCATTAATTACTCACATGCTGTTTACAGTACAACGCTTTTAGGAGTTCAGTACGGCACCTAGAATGCTTGTTCATTACTGAAGTGTCTCCCCACTGCGGAGAAAAGAAGACGAATTGGTCCTTTTCCTTAAGAGCCCTAATATTGTAAAACACACCATTCATCAGATCTCACGCTGAGGCCAGTGAAATCAAGGAAAATGATGCATTCAACAACATTTATGTATGGCGCAAATCACAAAATTCTACTGACCTTAATGTATATCGATCACTTCTCTCTTCATTCTCTGCTAATGCCTCCACTCTTGGAGAGGTGAGGTGTCCAAGTCGCAACATCTAGCTACTGGGGTGCCTCAGGGCTCATTACTTGGACCACTTCTCTTCTCTGTCTACATGGAATCACTAGGTCATTCAGAAACATGACTTTTCTTATCACTGCTATGCTGAT